TTTTTTTTTTTTTTTTTTTTTTTTTTTTTTTTTTTTTTTTTTTTTTTTTTTTTTTCTCTATCCCGTCCTCAACTATTGTTTGTGGCTTTTAAATGAAGAAGGGTGTTCTAGTCCCCTCTTTGGGTGGTTAGGATATGCTAGCAGGTTGTACCCATTTCACGAAGTTAGAGCCGTATGATCATCTTATTGACTATTACTCCCTTACAAAGTATGCAGGGAGAAGTACCCATTTCACGAAGTTAGAGCCGTATGATCATCTTATTGACTATTACTCCCTTACAAAGTATGCAGGGAGAAGTAATCCATGGTTGGCCATGGGTTGGCCTGTGTAAATAATGAAAAGCTTAAAGAGCATGGGTTCAAGCTACATGTAATTTCCTGATTTAATTTCCTACAAGTTACCTTGGTAAACAAATGTAGTAAGGTAGGCAATTGTGCCGTGAGAATGGTCGAGATGTTTACAAGTTGGCCCAAACACTCGCAAGTATAAAAGAACTAGAGGGCTTAGCTGGTCTATTATTCTTCTCTGTCAGTGAAGATAAAATTTCCTGTCAACCCCGCAAATTTAACTAATCATCTTGGAAATCTAATGGCAAATTACTATATAGTACAGATGTTGGATGAAGTTTGAGGTTTGTTGTAAATGTGTGAACAATAGTCTTCTTCCTATTCTTCTGTTGAGGAATGTCTGCGCGGGAACAAAGGGATTTGTTGAGTGTCTGGCCTAGATATGAAAACATACATCGTTCTACCTCTCTAAAGCTAAGATGCTCTTGCATAACCCCTGACTGAGGATTCAGATATATACCCTTAACCACTCTTTGTATTCTCATGATTTTTCCCTTTTCTTTACTCTTGCTTCTTCTTCCCTCTTCATTGTTTTCCTATCATTTATTTTTTTCCTTTTCATCTTCTACGAATCATTGGAAAATATAAAATAAGCTAGAGAAGAAAGAACTTGGATTGTTGTAAGGGCCGATAAAAATCCAAAAAATCTCAAATCTTCCAATTGTAACAGCCTAAGCTCACCGGTAGCAAATATTGTCGTCTCTAGACTTTCCCTCAAGGTTTTTAAAACGCATCATGCTAGGGAGAGATTTCCACACTCTTATAAAGAATGTTTCGTTCCCCTCTCCAACTAATGTGGGATCTCAAAACCCACTCCATTTGGGTCAACGTCCTCGCTAGCACTCCTTCACCTCTCCAATAGAATGTGCTAAGTGTTACTTGTTTTAATTCAATTTTATGTGACTGCAGTGTTTCTCTAGTCAAACTTGAATGTGGTCCTTAAATCATAACCTTGGAGAACTTGTGGCCGTTGATAGAATTTGTTTTTTATGAGTCTGGTATTTTTTTGCTGTTCTATGAAATATTTACTTCGATATGTTGATGGTACAGAGAAAAAGACTGACAATTCACAACAGAAGATCGTCTGCTCCTGTTCCATACTTTGAAACACAACACCAGTCATATGATTCGTTTGGTAAATCATCTTCCAAAACACGGTTGCTATTAGCCATATTCTTGTGTATAAATGTTTTCTGGTAATTTGGTAATGATGTGTTTAGGAATATTGATGTGGGGGGATATGTTTCTCTTTTATATGATTGTGAAGTTTTTCTCATGATTTTTCAAAATTCTTTGGTTACTCTCTTATTTGAGGATTTACAGCTAAAAGAAGAGGGCTATATTTAAGTTGATAAGGTGCTATGAATACTTTACTAGCAGTATCCTAATTACGATTAATCGTGTTCTTATGAAGGTAGTAGAATGGGAAATTTTCTATTGATAAAAGGAATTTGATGCGATCTCATCGTTTGTAAATTTTGTGTGTATTCCTTTTCAATTTAAAACTTCTTTGAAAGGGTTTTTCTTTCTGCAATGTTACTTTTAAATGATCACATCCTAAACTGGTGAGCCAGCCTTGAATTGTTTATTTGGCATGCCATCCGTGTCAAACCTCCATTAAAATACCTGAAGAGTCGACATGGATTGAATTTTGACTATCAATGATCCACCAAGTTGTCCAAAAGAGGAGGCATTTCGAGTAAATGGTACGCCCACAATATTCAGAAAAAGGGACCTCTGTATCCCCTAAAACTTTGAGCAACTTTTAAACTTTTTCGGAATGAAGGGACTCGATGTGGGAAGCATGGCACTAAGACATACATACCCATACCCGTTGATGAGTCCCTGCTATTCCAATGAGCTCCTTCATAATCTCCTGCCTTCCAAAAACTGTTTGGAGGCGGAAGCATTTGTGTTCGAAGTCCTCGTCTCTTGTTCAGTACCCGCCTCTGTTGAGTGGGGACAAAAGAACCGCCATTGAATGCTTTTCGTCCAGCGCCGCGGGCGGAAGAAAACCATGAGGTAAAACAACTTCTAACTCCTTCAGCCTCCTCCTCTTCGAAAACTCTCCATCCACGTCGTTCGGGAGTCGGACGCTTCTCGTAACTCCTCCAAGAATTCCGTCAACTACTTACACCTCCGAATCTGACTTGCTTTCAAAACTGT